CACACACACACACACACACACACACACACACACACACACACACACACTTACACACACACAGACTGTCCGCCACCACTGACCAAAAATTATTACAAAGCACTCGATGACAAAATGCTGCACACAAAATACATTTACATTACATCATAAAACACATTCTTCCCCTATGTGGCTAATTCGATTTGCTTAATTGAGCCAAGTGAGAATTTAAAAAAAAACATCCATCCCTGAGCAATGAAACTTAGTCGAGCTTTATAGCTGACAAGATCTGATATAAGTGCACCGGCTGAGGAATAACTGAGGCATACTTCGTCAGTCCATACCTGTAGAAATGTCTATTATCGTCAGTTGCGTTGGCCCTTTATCAAATCACCCCAGAGCAAATTTCCTCTAATGCCTCTGATTGGTGCTAATCCACTGCCATTGTTGGCCAATATTAAGGCAAGGCATGATGGGAATCTGACACCTCCTGCCTTTCACGCTGCCAATGGAAGTACTCTGTGGTTAAACAAAGCCCGGCCTCGACAGTAGCTGGCGTGTGCTAATTTCTGAGGAGAAACGTTGAAAGTAAAGGCAGTTGATTGAAAGAACAGAAGGAACAAGGACAAAGGACAAGGAAGATTTTGCAAGAAGGGTTGACATAGTGCTAACACAAGTACAAACTTGAGAGCACAAGGATGAGACTTGTCTCTGCTAGTTTTCTTCCTGGCGTAAAAAAATGCACCGCAAAGCCCTGTGGAGGATAATTACTTAATCATGTGTTTAATACACTTTGAAAAGTGAATAGTGTATTCACAGTCTCCTCACTCTGTCTTGTCAAGCACACACAACGGTATACTGTGTGTTCCGTTCAAGCCACTAGCACAGAGATCAATACAGCAGCTGACACCTTTCTGAAGGTAGCCTGATCAATCTTTGACATGGTATTAAGTGTTACAGGCAAAGAGGTGTTGAGAAAAAAGCCCCGGCCAACAGAAAGGTAAGATAACTATGCATGACACGTCCCACGCAGCCACAGATCAATGGTCGGGAATCCGGCTATTGACCTTGAGCTCTGAGGGAAAAACCCTCATACCCAATGCAGAAATGAGTAATTACATTAAGTCAAATCAGGAATTATCGAATGCTTTGCCAGTGTTAACTCTGATTAATTATGGTGCCTCAAGAAACTAATCATGGATGGGGGGGGGGGGGCAAACAAACGTGAGTTATTTTAGAAAACTGTCAAAAAATGGGCGGGTTTGATTGACTTGTGGTGTTTAGACACCGGGCCAAAGTCATTTAAAGAGAAGTGAAGTTGCCCGAGATGGATGTTAATTGTCGATGTTCTTCTGTGCATGTGTGTGTCAATGCAACCTGCTATCAGACTCATTATGCTGTTGGTTAATAGTGAAATTTGCCAGATGTCATTCCGTTCCCATCATCGTTAATCTATTTTTAAACATCTTTGGCAGGTCTTACTACTGCACAAACAAAAAAAAAGCTGATTCATATTCAATTCATCATAGCTGTCGGCTCACGGGACGTACAGGACCCCAAGGTTAAGTTGTAATGGAACGGGGGCTTGGAGGGTGTAAATGATTATTAATTAAAACAATCATTGACATCTAATTTTCCCTCTAGTGCGCATGCTGTTCCAGCTCAGCGGGCGCGTGACTGTGATGTATTCTTTATTGGTGTGACGAACAAAGAGGCCGACCTGTCAACCGCAAGAGCGACAGAGAGCTTGAAAGAGGGAAAGATGGAGGCGGGTGACAACCTGACAGTCTGTTCTCACTTTAACATGATTTGCTTCAGGGAGCCGATGTTGTCAAATTTGTCTTTGGCCCGTCTGCATGGCCCCGTGGGACATCAAATTGCTACAAGAGCAGAGGAAATCCAACCCGCACCTTGTCTGTCTTGAATCCAATCTAATTCCATCCCAACACGCCCAATGGACCGTAATAGCATGAGAGCTCTCATGTCAGGTGGCATCCGCGGAGCCTTTTATGTGTGGACTCAAAACAGTGACAGATATGGATTACAGCACAATGGTGCCAAGGACTCAGCCTATGTACTTCAGCTCTGTAAAAAGTTGAGAATATCTTTGTCTAAGTGGGTGATTTTAAATGTTAGAGTGTTAAACAACTGTTGTCAACAACTCTGAGTATTTCCCCCTTTTGCTCAAATGCTGTCTTCACCAGCGTTTGGTTTCCTGTCCCTTTGGGATCCTTTGGTAGAAAACGATCACAGACAGACGGGTTTGCAAAAATGAGTGTGCCGCCGTGTATCCTTTGGTGTTGTCAGCTGATTTATGGGAATTAAAGTGCCCTGCACTTTGAAGCTGATCTGTACCCTGTTCCTATCAACCTCACTGGTCTTCTTCTTGTGCTGCTGTAATGCAATGTTTTCCTCCAGGGATAAATAAAATGTGATCTCATCTTATCTTTTAAATTAGCTATTTAAAGAGTTGTGACCCACTGAGTGGGTCATTCTAAGTTGAAAAATGAACATGTTAGTGCTCCATGACACTGTTTCGAAATGACCTCACACATATCTTTTACCTTTCTATTTCTGTAATGCAATTTCTTGTTATTCACTGGCCAAAAAACACGGCAGTATCAATATATATATATATCTGCCTTTAGCTAATATTGATCTCACATCGTTGCAATCAGAAAAAAAAATGATATTTCCGAGGATGCACAAAACTGATATATGTCCATTTAATTCAAGAGCAAAGAGACCATATTATGGCATTCTTTAGAGTGGGTTCAGTGTCGTATCAGGACTCTTCTGTCAATGGACTCAGACGCAGGCCACACAGGCTGATCCATGCTGGTCAATATCTTCCTTTCAGCTGAGCCCAGCATGACCCTCGGCCTGAGCACGGAGCGAGCCATTATTTAGAGGGGCCTTGGAGTACAATAACTGCAACCGATAGCCCTTCCTGCTGTTGCATCCTCATAAATCATTCACTGTTTACAGATATTCAAAATGGATAGCCAGGGGAAGCTGTGCAAGATGTGGGGCAATGAGCATACCTCACTGTAGCTGCCTCATACATTACCTCACACTCTAAAAGAGCCGTTGAAAAGGCTGCATCCTCTCTGACAGATATCATTATGGTCCGGCCTGATCGCAATCAATAACGTTCGATTTGTCATTATATATCCTTGGGGATGAATTACTGGCATATTATGTAAGCATGCTATTGCCTGTTGCCTAGGACTGTAAAAGCTGAACATCTCTGCTGCCCCTCTTCTATCTCCTGTCATCCTGCAGAGAGACGTCCAAAAACACTCTGCCAGAGATGCTCATCGTTTATTCTGTTTGTGCGTTTTCATCAGGCTCAGGCTAACAGTCAACATTAGCGGATTCTGTGGGTGCTGCTCACTGCGGTTTCCGAGCTTCCGGGGAAAAATGCTGTTCTCTCTGAGAGAGAAGCAATTCCAAAACCTGTGCTGAATGGCAATGACCACGGGGTCGTCGGCGCGCAGAGCAAGGGACGAGGACATGGCAATAAGAGTGAGGGAATCATCAGCGTTATTCGATGTGTGTATATCCCTGCCTCTCGCTGTGACTGTCCGACATCACATACTGCAGCGACGTGTCTGTCACAGGCCACACTCTACACTGAGGTCAGACACAAGGTCTTCCCTGCATAATGTCTACAGTTTATGTCAGATGATGTGCCTTTGGGCTCGTGCAGACCAGAAGCGGAACAGACACACACATGCAGTGCCATTTATGCTGCAGGCCTGTGAAGAGCTTTTTCTACACAGCCCAGCAAACCCTCCCTGAGTAAAACACGCTGCATGAAGGAGAAACGAAGTAGGACTCACATTTTGCTCCGACAGACGAAGCAACAGCGTCCCAAACCTTTTGACAAATAATTCTAGCAGTCATAGTATTTTATTTTCAGCCACTGCTGTGACTTGTGATTGGATAAACACAGAGTACATCTATTCATTTCCCTCTCTTTCTCTATCTGTATTCCCGAATATTTACTGAACATTTTGTTATTGCGTTTGGACATAATGCACTTTGTAGCACTGATGCATTCTACTAGCTAGTAATGCCAGTTGTCCAAGAAAAATCCATATTTTCTTTTCTATCAAGACACTGACAAGAGAGACTGAAGAAAGTACACAGATTGTGTCTACACAATTCAGCATAAAAACTGCAGTTTTTTGTTCACAGCTTTGGATTATTTGAAGTCCCACACACACACTGGTTTTAGTTGATGGGACAGAAAACAGGTGATTTAATTGGTCATAAATGAAGGGAGGCCCATGACAAATTGTAAAAGCACATTCCTCTAAAACCAAACTTGCAGTTTTTGTCACACGCCGTTGATTAACACAAAAAGAGCTTCTGGGAGTCATTCCAGCAAAGTGTAAGTTACTTCTAAAGTTCTCTCGAGCAGAAATGTATAATAAAAGGAAAAACTGCATCCAACTGTGGAGAAATGACAAGGTACAAACAACCAGGTCTTCTTTGCGGTGTGGCTGAAGGCCGTTGATGTGGACCTTCACGCTGAACTCAAACCTCGACTGGTAGATGGACTCAATATACACGGCTCACAAAGCACAGCAAATGCAGATAAAAAGATTGTGTTTTAAAAGACCAGGCCCGGGAGATTTTTTAAACTGGAAGTTAAATTGTTAAAATAGGCTTCTGTTTTGAAATGAAAGAGGAACAGGTCCCTTTGAAGAGTGAACAAAAGTGAATTTTGCTTCCTCGTATTGCCACCTTTTTAAAAAATGGCAAGGAAAGATGAATCAGCCATGTGCAATGCAATAATTTGGTGGCCCAAGTCTCCACGTATCTCTCCATAACAAAGTTGCTTCTGTTCATTTTTCTGTGACATTGTCTTCAGCTCGTCTTATCATGTAATCCTCTTATGAACGCTTCCTTCCGCCGTCGAGGAACCACAACAAAAGCCCTCTATTTCCTCACTGCTTAATGGGACGCATCCCAGAAGAACCCGCTGAACACTTTCTTACAGTTAAAGACAGATATGAATACACACGAAGGGATTCTAATGAGCACAGGGTTCGAGTTCTCGACGCTGATGTTGTGGTGGGGCACTAGTAGCACGATGAAACTGCCAAGAGGAAATGTAACAAGTATGATCAAAACAAGAGCAAATATTAAGCGGACCAAAAGGTGTTCTCTTAAAATGTAAAACAGGAATGCAGAAAGCAGCATGTCATGGAAATACAAACATGCGTTGAGATACTCCCATTCCAATACATCACATTGTTTTCTGGAACAAGCTTAATTACATGATAATAACATTTGTTGCACACCCAGTGGTGGTATTAAACACCTCAGTGTGCCCAGTTTGGATCCTAGGGAACACTAAATCAGTGGGCATAAAGGTTTTTTACAAACAAACAAAAACAGAGAGACGATATAAATAGATTAATATCCTGTGATCCTATCCACAGGGTTACCTTAAGATTTCAAGACACAAAATGAGAGTTGAATTGGCTGATGAATTGTTACGATGGACAATGTTCGCTTTGCGACATCTACCTCTGAGGTGAAGTGAATACATAAGCAGGGACGTGCACAAAAACAATATTCTTAAAGCTGCATGTGTTGTACCTCTGGGAGTCCAGCAGCTCCCTGGGTCTGATGATGGCCTTGACCAGGGCGTCAGGTCGCACCAACTTCTGAGGCGATGTTTTGGGGCTGGAGTCCGACTCTCCGCTCTCCTCGTCCCCCATGGCTTTAACGTAGCTGCTGCTCCGCATCCGACGACAAGGGATCTCGTCTTCCTTCCCACCGCCAGGGTAACCTCCCCAGTCATCCTGGGGCACCTGGGTGGCATGGGGAGCGTAAACAGTCATTGTAATAAAATGTTTCTTTGGTCAATTGTCATATTAACATCAGGCTGCCCGATGAATGTTTATCCACACTTCCCATTTATTTCTGCTTTAGTTTCATCACCTCCTGAGGAAAATATCTGACTCTGTAGCTGCTGAATGTTCGTCAGAGGGATCTGTCTTTGGATATTGTTATGCATCCTGTAACTCTTTTGCAAGAGTGTACGTGTTGCCTGTATCTTCACAATACCGGAGGTAAAATGTCATAATAGTACACTCAGGAATAGTCCCACCTCTGCATTACAAGAGCACAATAATACAGTCTTGAATATGTTATACAAGGATTTTATAAAGAGATTTTGCTTAACTTCTGAACCCCGTAGATCTAAATGGAGCAATGTTAACGCATTGAAAACATCAAATCCAGTGTTTTTCCCAGGGATGAAGCATCGTGCTATTTGCTAGACACTTGAATTGAACCCCCTTTCTCTCGCACAGTTAGTTCCACCATTGAGTTGCACAGGACCATTTTCCACGATGAATAAACACACATTAAAGCCTTCCCCACAGCTGCTCAGTCTTTTAGCTCTCCTGTAGTTTGGCCAGGTTAAAATCTGCTGAAAAACCCTTGACTGAAACGATGTCATGAATTTGGCTGGGCTGTTAATCATAATTACTGGCAATATACAGCTTGAAAATGGAGAAAGGGAGCTCCCTTTGTGTACCCTTCGTCGCAGCTATCGCACATGGAGACCTGCCATCAAAACAAGCAGTTTACATTTTGCAGTTTTCTTCCACTTGTTAAACCAGGTAGTCGAGTACCCAGACATCAGCGCCACCATTATCCCATTTAGAGTGAGAACAGGGTGTCTCACTTGCGCTCGTCTTTACTACATATGGAGCGAATAGTTCACGCCGATCACGACAGTGTTAAATGTTGAATGTGGAGCGAGCAGGAAGACAAACAGAGCGTCTTGGATACAGGCTCTCTGCAGCAGTAAGTTAATGCACTTTGACATTAGTCTGGCATGCTTTGCTCACAAAGGCAATTTTTGTTATTGGAATCCATTTCAAGCAGACCAAATGTAACTGATATAATAGTACAGAACATCTGTGAATACAGATCGTGTGGACCAATTATTTTCTGAATCATGGTGTGAAAGAAAAACGGGGTTCCATTATTGTTCGTGCCATTATACACAAGACGTGGAAATGTAATCAAGTGATCCTTTCTGTATTAGAGGCGGTGGTGTGGTTTATTATAATCTGCGGGATCATTTCACCCGCTCGTTGTAAACAACTGACGATGACTGTTCCCAAGCTCATTACACACAAGACCACTCTCTCTTCCCCTGTCTCTAACTCACACACACACTCTCTTGCTTTGCGTTAGTGAAACAGTACAGCATAATTCAATCACTGGCACAACAACAGGAGCTGCTGAGTCAGGGTCTCCTTCAAACACACGCATAGACGACACAACGCAACAGACGCAGAGACCCTCTGCGGTCGCACAAAAGCACAAACCTCTCTCGCTTCTCTTCCCCCTGTTTCCCTTCCTTTACTTTGCTGATGATGTGTGCTTGAGCTGGACGCGCATTTACATGGTCAATGATTTTGCACTCATAAAATATGACATTGTCAGTAATCATTACATTCTATGTGGAAGTTGAAGGCCTCAGTGACGCATCCATCCGTCTCTTTAATTAACATCCTGGCAGCCGGGTCAGCCTTGGCCCAGCTCTAGATTTCATTAAGTTAAATCTGACTTATATTGACTTGACTTTATAGTGAGACTGGATCAGAGCTGTACTAAAGAGGAACGTTAAAATAGCCTCCCAACCACTATTCCTAATTCAAATACTGTATCAATGTGTTGTTGTGCTTAAAGCACTGATTCTATGTTCTTCTCAAACTCTCCTCAGTGACTAACTCACTACTCACAGGTTCACAATGAACAGGGCGGCAGCTGACTGGCTGTGGGAAATGTCAGGAGAAGATAGGCTGCATCCAAATGTCACTAATGCGTCAGACACATGACTCAAATCACTTTCAGATGCAAATGTCATCTATTTGGAAAACAACAATTGAAAAGCAATTATTATTCAAAGAGATACAAAAACAGACATTATCCATTTCCCACACTGTACCGTCAAGAATAGAAAACCAGCAGTTTTGTACCGGAAAGACAAGAACAGCAGCTGGAATTCTGAACGGAAAACATTTTTCAACTGCAAACACGTCAGACGCGTCACATACAATTCATCAACAACAATGAAGGTATCCGTTCGTTTACATCCTGGAAAAAAACCGACTTCCCCCTCCGACACCAATTCTACTAACCCCTGGCATCAAAGCACGCCCACACACAATTACTATTCTAACGAGTGTCACATCAAATCAAAACAACTTGAATAATTGATCAATTATGGCTTTATTACAGCCCACTCTTTGTTATTCACAGAGACTGCTGGGTCAAAGCAGCCTTTGACTCTTATGTTTCATCTATATTGGGATGATAGCATTGGGGGGTGGGGGGGATGGGTGGGTGATGATTGATGCTGATTATGGTGCGTCCACTCGGTCTGTAAAGCTCGGTAGCAAATTTTACGGCAAGGATGGTGTTACATCATAACAAGCAGGTAACGGCAAATGTATACGACGCACAAAAAGATGCACTTCCATGCATGGAGACAAAGCCGTGCAGAAAGGGACATGCATGAATTTGGAAAACTTAAGCTTACTGCCACGCCCCCCTTTTTCCAAAACATGCACGCACAGCTGTACACCCGGAACGCACACTCAAACACACACTCTGATAAAACAGGCATGCACCAGCTACCAAATGGAGTCGATGGGTTAATTAAGTCTTGGAGGGGTTTGATATTTTTAGACGTCTAATTAATGAACGTAACGCCAGAGGACAGGCGCAAGCTGTGGTGAGATTTGTTTAATTTGGATTCGCTGATAAACTGAATAGATTGCAGCGTGTCTCCTTGTGCAGATAACGAAACAGCAGCTCGCTCCTATCGATTGCTGGGAAAACACACATGGCGCCCCAGCCTGTTCAATGGAGTTGAAATAGGGTCACTTGTCATCATGAAACAAAGATCCTACAAAGGGAAGGCCATGGGATTCAGTGGTGAGTGTGCATCCGCAAGTCATGTGCAAGTATTCTGTGTATTTTCGGGGGCGTTTTTGGAGGATTCCACTGTTCCTAAATAAATGCGCCGCATCCTGTTCTGTTCAGACTTGAAGCCCTTTGTGAATATCAGCCCAAGTTTGTGGGAGCAGTGTGAAAATTCACAGCTCAAGTGTGAAGATCCATAGTTAAAGGCACATTATCACAAAAGCAGAACTTTCCCTTCCTATCATTTTTTTGGATTGTGCTCAATTAAGAACAGGAATGACTTGGGGAAAATGATTTGCCTTTTTTCTGATGACAACAACTCCTCACACATACCGTGGAGCTCTTTTAGCTCTTCAACTTTGCCAATAAATTAACATCGGTGAAATGGATCAGTGTCTCATAGCAGGATTATGCAGACATTGGCATATTGGCTGTGTGTGTGCGTGTCTTCCTTTACTTGCAGTGCTTTGATCTTCACCCACAGGGGGTGTGGCGTGTATTTATGTGTGTGTGTGTGTGTGTGTGTGTGTGTGTGTGTGTGCTGGCTAGGCAGGCCTCAGCCAATGCTCCTGCAGTGCAGCTGTGCATTTCATTGATTAACTCTGCGGCTCTATCTATATACAGCACCTCTCCCATGAAGAAACATAAGTCCTTGTCATTAAGTTACAAAATAAAGTGAGATAGACAGAGAGAGAGAGAGAGAGAGAGAGAGAGAGAGAGAGAGAGAGAGAGAGA